CCAAGCAGGCCAAGCTAATGATAGTCTATTCACAAATGATAGAGCTGCAAATATTATATAAAACACCACCACTATACCTGATGCAATGTCTTTATAAACCAAACAAACTTTGGCAAAACCAAGACAGGAGTCCAACTCAAAACATTTATTTTTTTCGTCAAAGTGTGGCTTCACATTGCCTTGAAAACATAAGAAATTAAAATTTCCAAATGCATCTTGACATAATACACCCTCGTCCTAGCAACCACATTCTTTAATTAGGTATGATTTGGTTAATTCCATATTCTCAGATTGTGACAAAAACCTGACAAAACTTTGTGATAGGGTGTATATATATAAATAACAAATTATCTCTCTCTATGTGTACCTCTTAAATCTTCCTCGTCGGATAAATCATCAATATCTAACAATGTCGGTTTATCATCAGAAACAACAATTGATTGATTTATAGGAGTAACACTTGATATTGAATTGATTTCCATATTACCAATAGGCAATGTTCCACCTGTATATAATAAACAATGGTTTGTATATCCTTTTGTATTTTAGATACCCGTATCCTTTTGACAATATCATAAAGTATACTGAACTACAGTGAGTTAGCTTAATTTCTTCAGCTAATTGACCAAATGACAGTAATTCTAATATTGTCAGAAATGATTTCCTTAGACTTAGGACACTAATTAACATTGCTAATTAAAACAATTTTCCTCAAATACAAAACAATAGATACTCCGAAAATTGAAAGCATTTTGAAAAATTTATTTCAAAATAAATAAAAAATAAAAAAGGGTAAGCAATTTAAAAAGGGTAAGCATTTTTTTTTTTTAAGGGTAAGCATTTTGAATAATTTATTTCATTTTGAAATAAATTTTTCAAAATGCTTTCAATTTTCGGAGTATCTATTGTTTTGTATTTTATCAAAATACTCAGTGGTTCCCGTAATTTTAAAACAATTTTCCTAACCATCAAATTCAATAGACCATTGGATTGAAATACCATCAGTTGTCATATAGAAATCTTTGAGATCGTTGGGCAGTGCACACATATTTTTCTATGAACAAAATGTAAAGAGCAAGCTCAGCTTCCAAGGGCAAATACAATAACAAAATTATATATATATATATATATATATATATATATATATATATATATATATATATATATATATATATATATATATATATATATATATATATATATATATATATATATATATACACACACATATATACATATATACGGTATGTATAGCATGATGATGGCATGAAACTCGGAGTAGCAACAAAAACATTTTAAGTATTAATATATACATACATATATATATGTATGTATATATATATATATATATATATATATATATATATATATATATATATATATATATATATATATATATATATATATATATGTATGTATATATATATATGTATATATATATGTATATATATATATGTATATACATATAAAACGAGAATGCATTACGTCGTAGTAATTATGATTTTAATTTACAATACAATGCCACGCCTTCAAGTAATATTGACGACACCAACACTGAGAGTTGTACGTCCAGCCAACCCAAACGCAAAAGACACAGAAACATACTATGGTTTAACCCACCTTACAGCAAAAACGTAGCAACAAACATTGGTAAAACCTTTCTTCAACTTATCGACAAACATTTCCCTAAATCAAGTCGTCTACATAAGATCTTTAACCGCAATTCAACCAAAATTAGTTACAGCTGCATGAAGAATGTCAAGACAACCATTTCTAACCACAACACGAGAATTAGATCGACCGAACCCACGACAACAGAAGAAATTAACTGTAACTGCCGCAAGAAAGATGAATGCCCCCTCCAGAAGAAATGTCTGACCCAGGCTATCGTGTACCAAGCCGAAGTAAAGAGTCACGACAACGGTGAAACGAAGCGGTATATTGGGGTAACAGCTGGGGAATTCAAAGACAGGTACAGAAACCATAAAAAATCATTCCAGCTTCAGAGATACGCGAACGAAACAGAGCTATCGAAGCATATTTGGAAACTGAAGAGAAGCGGAAGACCTTACAACACCACTTGGTCCATTCTGAAGAAGGCTGTCCCATACACAAGCGGAAGACCCAGATGCAACCTATGCTTGCAAGAGAAGCTGCTGATTTTAAAATCTCGCGACAAAATCTACTCAACAAAAGATCGGAAATCTTCTCGAAGTGCGTGCATCAGAAACAATTTTTAGCGGGAAATGTAGTCTGCGCGCGTGTAAGCAACATCAACAATCCTCGCGCGCGCGCGCAGTCACGCCATCAAACAACGAAAATCAAACGGTATTTGAGAACAATGTCTCCTGATGATCGCAGTGATGCGTGAAACTCGGAGTAGAGACAAAAAAACATTTTAAGTAAGAATAGTAATTATATATATATATATATATATATATACATATATATATATATATATATATATATATATATATATATATATATATATATATATATATATATATATATATATATATATATATATATATATATATATATATATATATATATATATATATATATATATATATATATATATATATATCTCTATATATCTATATCTCTATATATCTATATCTCTATCTATCTATCTATCTATCTATCTATCTATCTATCTATATATATATATATATATATATATATATATATATATATATATATATATATATATATATATATATATATATATATATATATATATATATATATATATATATATATATGAATATATATATATATATATATATATATATATATATATATATATATATATATAT